AGGCCCTATTCTGCAATTTGTGTTAGAACAACAAGAACAACGGAAGTGTGTTAAATTTACCGTACATTAACCGCAGAGTGCACAGAAAAAAATAGCGCAAGGGGACCATATGTTGGGTACCCCTCGTCTTAACCAATCGAAGCAGTTGTTATAAGTTCGCATTACCTTTCGGATAAAATTTCTTTTATGGTTTCGCTATAAAAAACCAATAGTATTGAGAGTTTATTTGTCTGGTGGTTTCTGGGTCTCAGTGAATAAATTTAGAATCTTGAATTCTTACAACCGACTTCGACAGTTCGACGCACACTCTGGATAGAGCAAGCATAAAACGACCGGTAACTCCGGAGTTCTCGATCCATTCAGCCCATCATATTTCAAGAACTTCCAGGTGTCACCGTAAAGCATAAAGTCTTAGCCACAGATGCCAATTCCGGTAGAACACTGAGCTCAAGATAAACTTTAAACAGCCGTAAAACAATACTGTAAGTACGGTTGCATAAAGCTTACACATGATTTAAGCATGGAAAGCTGAAACTACAAACTGATTACTGTATTAGCGTTCATAAATTTCTAGCCCGAATCACTAATAAGACCATCGATCAGAATGAGGCAGTTGTTAAGGAAAGGTATTAATTTTATATTATGATTAGTGATATACTCTGTTACATATTATTAGTATCCGTGCACATTATACCTAGTTGGTGCTCGCACACATTATAATCGCATCATTCGCATGCACAATAATAACGTCTAAAGTAGAGTACCTGTAAATATACTGTCACTATAGATAATTAGCACATTTTGTATCTCTCTCCCGAACGCACTCGCCCAGAGTGTGTTCGCGAGGGAATTTCAAAACGTTGCTGGGAATCCTGTGACGTTGCAGCGTGGTCATTCGCTGGCGGACAGCGGAATTCCCGAGGCTGAATTAACGGCGACCGCGTCATCGGCGTCGAACAGCGGTGCCGACGACTACACACTGGCCAACTTGCCTGTGCACGTGATGAAGGATGTTTTCCGGGCACTGGACACCGTTGGCCGGCAGCGGTGTCGCCGTACCTGTTACTTCTGGGACAGCATGATGCAGCTGCCGGAAATGAACCGCGATTTGCGCGTCAGTTATACGCGGATCCCGTTTATATCTGCTGCAGCCGAAAAGGGGGATAGCGATCGCAGTGGGTACTGGCTGTACGCCTGCTTGCTGCAGCACATTACGCGCACTACAAGCAGGTCCAGCAGTGTTACCATTGACCACGCCGGAGCGCCTGGCGTTACTGGAGCCTCATGTATGGGCAGGATCTGCTGGACATGCAGCAGGCCCGTAACGCCTATAACGATCGCGGCGTCGCGGCTCTTCATCTGTCATCGATCCATGCACTTTACGAGCGGGTAATTTCCGCTTTACCATGACCTTACCTTGACTTGATGTCTTCGTACGTCTGCACCCGGTCAAACGTCAATTCAACCGTCAGATTTGGGAGACGGTCACAAGGGAACGGCACACCATCTGGTGAGCGTTAATTTTGTATGGCTCTTATCGTGAGATAGATCGATTGAACAAAGCACAAAATTAATTAGAGCACTGAGTCGCGCTTGCTGATTTCGTGCTACCTCAGTTGTCAGCCTTAAATCAACTCACCGTCAGACAGGGAATGGGAAAGACGAAGAGTAAGAAAAGACGAAGAGTAAGAAACCTGACTGAATTCACGGTTCGCATGCAAGAGGCATGCAGCAGTCTCTCTGAAACCAGTGCAATGTTGGAAACGGATCGAATCGACGGCGAAAATGGTGCCTCTCTGGTTATGCACCTATCCTAGCACTGCTGCGCTGCGATACGCCAGTGGCGTCGGGTAATGTGTGAGTGTGGCCAGCAGACAGGGCAGCGCGTCTGGAGCGCCACCGGAAATGCAGTATATGGCGAACGGAGGCAGGTGGAGCCCTGAACCGTGCTGTACTTATATGACCCACTCTCGCAGTCGCCATAGATACCGGTGGTAACAGGACTGTTGTCACCTTTGGCTGGAGGAACGACCGAGGTACTGTTAGTACTAAAATCAAATCAGTTTTATTTCCCAAACCCGAACTTGTAAGTAAACCAAGCTGAGGAAAATGGCGACAAGTCGTGCCGGCAATTTTTCATTTGTTATTTCCATTTTGTTGGAATTCAGCGTAAAGACGTGATGAAACAGTAGACCGCTTTCGGCACGTTTCCATAGTAAGTAGTCTTGAACCGCGCCGGTGCATGCTCCTTTTGATTCGGTACAGACTTTGGCAAGTCACCACAATCCGCCGATGTCAGCACAATAAACCCGTTGTGACCCGGCTCCCCCCTATACCCTCGGTCGTCCCCGTTAACAGGTTGACAATAAGAGAAATATAGACATCTACAGACTACAATCACTATTTAGTTGATGAATGTGCTGTGTACCTATTGAAGATTAATGGTCACTGCTGCATTCTTAATCACGGCAAAGCAATAGATGCTTATCTGTATTGGGGGGTAATCTGCGTTAGGTGCCCCGCTTGTTGAGCTCTTTGCATGTCACGCAACTAATAATAGGGTTGACATTTCTGAGGTTTGGAGCCGTTTGCGAAAGGAAATGAAATTTAATTAGAACTAACGAGATGAAACGACATATGCAATGAAAACATTAATCAAAATATAATACTTAGACTTTTCTTATGGTGGTAAAAATATTAGTCAAACGGTTAAGGCGTTCGGGATCTTGAAGTAACCGGTGCACCAAAAGCGCGCAAAAAACTTTTCCTTTGAAAAAGCTCATTGAAATGAATTATCCCATAGCGATAATGTCTACATCAAGTACACCGGTCTTCATATTTCCTTTTCAAGAAACATTGTAAATTACGCTAATTTCATCCGCCGACATTGCATTTTATAATTACAGAATTTCATGCAGTTTCGCATTTCATTTCACATTTCACGCGAGAGTCCGTATACATATGAAATGCAAGTGAAATGAGGAGTGAAACATGAAATCAGGAAACCACGATTGCAACCCTAAATTATAATCTCTCTTTCTCTTTCACCTAATACAGGTGCACAATAAGTGCCGTATTTGTCCTGCGGAGCCGTGCTGGCCACGTTCAGTCTATTAGCAGCATTTAATTGACGTGAAACGTCAGCCAGCGTCTAATGCACCGATACACCGCGTATCCGGCCTTCTTGTTGTCCCCGCCGGTTTCCCGCGCTCATATGACTTTCAACTCGGGTTTCATCGCTTCACCGTTCCAATTATGGCGATGTGCTAGAAGTTAAATCACACTCAATGCGCCCCGAAAACATCCGGGAGTACCGTAATTACATTTAACTACTGTACATGTCAACGCACAACAAACTTGTGATGACCTTTCGCTTCAGATTTATATGTATGACGAAAGAAAGCCTTCTTGTATTAATTATAGGTGAAGGCTCCGCATACCACCTTTTAACCACCGTTGGCTTTCATACCACCTTTGGCTCTTAATACCATCTTTTGTGCAAAAGTTTTGACTCCGCATACCACTATTCAGTTTTTTTGCAGTTGTTTTAACAATCATCAGACCGGGAAGGTTAACGTTTCCCTTTAATAGCGCTAACACGCCTCATCAATCTGCCCCTTCACAGATTAATGGAACCTTTGGCTTATCTTGTTCATAAGAAAATTAAAAAAGAAAAACTAAATGGTGGTATGAAGAGTCTAAAAGTGGCGTACAGAAGGTTGTAACAGAAACCAAAAAGTGTTAAAAAGATAGCAAAAGGAGCCAAAGGTTGCATAAATTTAAAGGTGGTTTGCGGAGCTTTCAGCATAATAATATGTCAGACAACGGACTGTCAGACAAATATGTCAGAATATGTCAGACAAACAAAAATGACTGACAGCCATCGCTTAATTAACAGGAATTTGTTGATTAAATGTACTCTTGGTTGTAATACTGTAATAGTGCATAGAAATTAAGCGGTACAATATCAGAAGGGCATCATTTTGCCGCTAGCACGGAACGTCAAAGGACAATGCCGTAATTGCGGCAAAAAGCCGTTTGCAGGAAATTAGCTGTAATTGCCGTGCTGAATGAGAGTGCTGTACCAGGTAACTCATGTTGCGCGGAATGCATGCCCTGCACGGCGGCCATTGTTCATGGGTGGAACAGCGTCTGCGTCGGGAATTTGTGATTGGGCAAGCCGTAGGCGAATTTAAGTCGCTGGGACGGGAGGGTCACTGAAAGCCCAAAAACCGCAATATGTACAGATACGAGCCAATAAGCAACTGAAAGAACTGCATATAATTTTTTGAAAGCCATTAAACTAATCTACTTTTGTGTATAAAACAAGGTGCCGGGTCAAAAATTATATCATAGGCCAATTTCCGACACACATTTTTTCTGCGGAAATAGCCAGAAATTATATGAAAGTAGTTAATTATTCTAAAGATTTTTTAGTGTGGTTCTTGGAACATGGCATACTACCAAAATGCATTGTAATTTTCTCGATTTTTTTTGAAAAATCGGTTACGATTTTTGTAACCGATTTTTATGCAATGCATTTTACGTGTTATTATGTTTTTTACGTTTTTTATGTTATTTCGTATTTTTCATTTCATTGTTTAGAATTTTTATTTTAAAAAGAATATAAAAATAACATTGCAATGAAACATGAATAAAAATAACATTGCAATGAAATATAGAAGTAAAACGTAAGGATATAACATGAAAAGAGAATAAAACCTTGGAATATAAGAATAAGAGAAAAACATAAAAAGAAATCAAGCATAAGATTATAATAATGTAAAAATATAAGAATAGAATCAAGCATAAAAACATAAGAATATAGTAAAACTAGAAGAAAACATAAGAACATAAGAAACACACAAAGTAACATAAGAAAAGATAAGAAGTAAATTAGGAAACATAAGAGGCAACATAAGAAAACATTAGAATTAACCCAGCAGTCAGATTCAGACTTCTAGGAGTCAGAGTTTGAGCAGTCATAGTCAAAGCTTGAGCGCGGGTTTTAATAGATATTATGATATTAATCATTAGCCAATAGAGTTACGAAGATTTAAACGAAAACAGGTAATTCCATTCGTTGCCTATTAACCCAGGCATTCTATAAAAATCTTTAACAGATTTGTAATTAAACTGATTATAGATTACTCTTATTTCGAAAAGGATACAAATTTGCAAGTCCCGTGTTTCTCTGTAGGAACGTCTCCTTAGCACAGACTGAGGTGAGTATTGTCGCCGGCAACAATACCATTTCGCTTTGAGCAACCCGAAGCATGATCGCCTCATAACCATTCTAAGCACAGAACATAAGTACAACAAACCTATGTTTCGGGTACATTATCATCGTAAGCATTAACAGGCTGCGCAGCAATCTTCTCTTTAAAATTCTCCCGTCCGTGCTGCTCCAAATCCCGGGGCATCACGTTGTACTTGAGATTATCGTTCAGCGAGTACGCCTCAATATTAAAATTCACCGCGGAGTGGTTCAGTGGGATCTCCTTGGAACAATCCACCGGATAGTAAATCTCCGACTTCCCCAATCCGACGCTCTGCCAGCGCTCATTGACATGGTACACCTCCCCCGGCAATTTCGCCGCCAACAGCACCGGGTTCCGCTGCAAGAACCTCCGGTACCACGCCAACTCCGTCTGGCAGTGCAGTCGCCCAATAAACGCCCGTCCGGTTTCCGTGAACGGTGTGTAGAAGAAGGAGATCTCCAGGGATAACAACCGCAGATCCAGGAGGTTCAGGAACGTCCCCTTCTCCAGCGCGGCGATGCTGGAATACACCATCCGGACCCAGCGCAGTTTCGGAGTCCCTTGGAAGTGCGTCTTCTGGATGACGAGTCCGTCGCAATACTTCAAGTACAAACTCAGCAAACTGCTCATCCCGGAAACCTTGGCGGTGGTCTCGGCGCTGCTGCAGTTGTACGTCTGGTAGACGACGATCTGCGGCCGCACCGGGCTCCACAGGTTCGCCGTGATGTAGATCTTGTCGGGGAGGTCGACGATGATCTGGCGCATGCCGAAGCCGGCGAGGTTCTGCAGGAGACCGCGGAGTTCCAGGAGACTGAGCTCCCAGCTGCAGCTGATCTCCAGGACGGAGGTGTCCACGGCTGAGCAGTTGTCTTTATCGCCCGGCGGCTGGCAACGGTCAGTGAAGAGCTCCTGACATTCGAGTTGCGAGAGCCGGGTGTTGAGGAACGCCGGGTAGAGTTCGGCGTCATCGTCGCGCACGGATTTCTCCGCCGATCCGGAGAAACGTTTTTGCGTTTGAGCTAAAATTCAGTAATAAAGGAAAAATCAATAGATAAAGTAACAAATAAGGTAAGAAAATATAACTTTATATTCACTTTATAAATAATAAAATGAATAACTGGTTATCACACTTGTTTGCTTTTAATAACATCCTAATAAAAAAATTAATGATCAATTAATTATTTTATCTGTTATTTATCTAAAAAAAATTAGAACTTAAGTAAATTATTTAAAACAAATGTTTTGGCTGTTCATTAAGCTAATTAAATAACTGACTGTACTAAAGCGTTAGGCTCGTTGATGACCTTTGACAAAAATATTAATTTTTAAAATTGTTTCTAAATTTTACGTTAATTGTAACTAATCGAAAGCAGATTGCAGTTCCAGTTTGTTTTATGTTGGTGACCTTTTATATACCTATGAGTTGGGTAGAGTTGACAATGGGGCACCCGAAATGCCGCTCCAGTTTGACCACATCTAGCGGACTGAGATTGGTGCTCTGTCCCAACGCTGCCGCCAGTTTCTTTGGGATGATCGTCGGCGCCGAGGCGCTCTTGGCGAAAGCGTTGTACTTGAAGTGCATGACGGACTGGTAGTCGTACGGGAGGCCGAAGGTCTGGCTGTTGTACTTCTTGAACTGATCGCGATCCGCTACATTTACACAAACCGTTATTCTATGTCGCAGATTCAACGAATTTTCTAGAATTATGTCGTACATGGGGGAATGTTGTCCCAGTTGACATTGACGTGCTCGTCGCGGTCCAATCGCGCCTGTTCATGGGAAAGGCCTAGCGCGTGGAGAATTTCATGCTGGATGTCGCCGTCGGTGGCCATGCATCCGGGAGCCAAGTAGATCGATTGCTTCCCGCCTTGCCGACCGATACTCGACGCACACCTTTCAGAAGAAAAATATTTTCTTAGGTTTTTCAGATTTCTTAAAATCAAATGCGGAAATGCAGTGAGCGAATAATTAAATATTAAAAGAGCGAAAATTAGTCATGCTCATTAGCGCGTTAGAATGGAATAGTTTATTAACGCATTATGCGTTGAAACGAGGCATCAAATATTTCAGTCTAAATCTAAAACGAGGCCTCCCGTTATTTAGCACCACATTTAAAACGAGGCATTAAATTTTTATTTTTTTGCACTAAATTTAAAACGAAGCAATTAATTTGCTCGTCCTGCATTTTTAGTTCTACATTTAGAACGAGACATTCAATTTTTAGGTCAAACATGTAAACCCACGCATCTAATGCTACGTTTAAAGCGAGGCATACAGGTTTTTAGCATTACACTGTAATCCGTACCGGCTGCTTTTCGGCAGAAAGCTGATATAATCATTCTCGTTCGTCTGCTCCACAAACTGAATACAGTTCTGCGTAAGAATCGTGATGGACAGCATGGCTCTCTGGATGGCCTCCATTTCCTCTGGTTCTACAAAAGGAAAAGCACTTAAATGTCATATCTGATTCATGGTTGGCTATGGATATCTGATTCATGGTTGGCTATGGATATCTGATTCATGGTTGGCTATGGATATCTGATTCATGGTTGGCTATGGCATACTGAAGGCGTTGCCGCGCTGGATATCAGCGGCGATCTTGTAGGGAATGCTGCCGCCGGTCCACTTGAAGCGCTCGTCGTTGATGGTGTTGTCCACGGCTTTTGACAACTAGGGAACACTTAGGATACTGTGTTCACTCTAATAAACAGCAAATAAATTAGGAGTAATGCTACGTACTTCGTTTTCCGTCATGCTGTTCTCGAAACCGATAATGTCGCCTTCGAAATAGTCATTGGCGTATAGCGCCTTGTTGCTGTGCGTGTTGGAGGTCTTCAGGACATCTGGACTGATGTAGCGTCTCCAATCTACGCAGCAGAAAAACTTCCTCGATTCAGAAATATATTCTGCCAAAAACAGTGTAATTACACCGACCTGCAGGGATCGATACGGAACCGATTGCTGACACCAGCACGACCAACAACAGGCAGAATACCGTTGAGATCATTTTAAAAACGGTAATACCGGGTATATAATAAGGACCTTATTGCGGCAACGGTCGGCGTCACATGCAGATGGGTTTACGCAGCATTCCAGCAGAAAGGTACTGCGATAACGGTATTGCCACTGATGTTGTTGTGTATTTGTTGTTGCACGTGAAACGCCGGCATGATTGCGGCATGCGCAGCATCAACAGCAACATACAATTATGTATGTTTAATTAAGGCTGATGGATATGCGCGGATGGTATTATTGGCGGGTATCACGTAATATGGAGATCAGCAGGACGAGAAGAACGGCGGCGCAGACGTTACCTTGGCGCTGCCGGCGACAGCCTGTCACAACTGACGACGCCACATCCTACTTGGCAAGATGGATGGATATGGGCTGCGTATAACCCCCAACATGTCTAACAACTATCTGCTACATACTAATTATCCTGCTATGTAAAGTATACAGAGTACAAGGTTCCATAAAAAATCTCTTTTAGCGCGAATTTTGTTCATAATTCAGCCAGTACATGCACACGCTGTTAAGAAATGCGCTTTAAGAAAAAAGTACGCTTTTTATGTATTTTCCAGAAAAATAAAGTGTTCAGAAAGTATACTTTTGATTATAATAAAATTTTCTCTTGACTTTTTATGCACTAACGAGTAACGACACAGAACACCAGCAGATTATTAGAGAAACTAAATAAAGCTTGGAGACGGTGAACAATTTATCAAAACGAAATCAAAAATTAGACCGACATACTGTACGAAGGCGAAAACATCTGGTGTATCGATCAATCTGACAGTAAACAGAAATTAACCCGATAAGAGAATAATGCAGATAATAATTACCAATACTTCTATTTGTAGATCGATAAATGACATAATTTATTTAATGTATAAATGACATCTGTCAGGTTTCATGAGACTGTCGTGATGCGTACGTGCTATACGATGCGTCAGCCGATGACGCGACACTAGACGTATTAATAATTACCCACTGTTCTTTTATCGGTATAATAATATAGATATGCATCGCTTCTACATGTGCATACGTGATACGAGTGTCTTATACGACAGCAATTCAAACAAACACAGTCGGCTGGATTAGAGTACTGGAAGAGATGGTAGCGTGTAGTTGTCTTTCAACCAGCGCACTGCATGATCCGCATCTCTTCTTTGGTCTGCCGCAGCTCTCCGCCGTCCGGCATCATACTGGGCTCGTACTTCGTCTGGAACACGCGTGTTGACTCGTCCGCCTGTATCGTCTTTACCGTGCTAACCACACCCTTGAAGTCGTCGTAGTCCACCGATTTGGCCAGATGGTCTCGCGTCGCCACTTTAGAAAAAAAAGGCCTACTGTCTTCGAGCCATTTTCGGGAGAAAACGCAGTACTTACTGTCGGCGTTCTGGCCGAACCACCAGGATGATGTGCGGCTTTGCGCACGGAACTGGGTGCGCGGAGGGTAGATGAAGGTCCGCGACATGGTCTGTCGGTTGATGACCGTTACCGGCTGGCCTCTTCTGCACTGTTTCAGTGGAAGGCTCATCGACGGGGTCACGATTTCCACGGCGGATGGATTCTCCTCGCAGCCCCTAAAAACAGACCGTCATAAATCAAAATTAAAAACATACCGGTGTTGGGTTTCATTAATGCAACCGTTGTCGTTTGTAAATTACAGTCCATTTCCTAATTTCTGGTGTCGGCTAATTGTAGTGATTGTGGTTGCATGCGCACTGTGCTTGTTGTACTACCGCTGCACACTGATTTTTAATCTGAATCCACAGATTTAATCTGATTTTTTAAATCTGAATCTGAGCCGATGCATTCGCATTCTCTGTAAGGTTGAGTATCAGCCCCACCCTTTGCTTTTGCTTCTGAACCAAAAAAATAGGAGAAGGACTGTACGAAGAAGACGCTGGGTACAAGATCAAGCAAGTCCGAACACTGAGGAACTTACGAACCGCAGCCTGATGCTGGCGCGTCCGTCGGCGCCGGTTCCTCCGTGGTCACCGGTTCGTCGGTTGTCGTCGGGGCTGTCGTGGTGGTGGGTTTGGTGGTGGGCGTTGGGCGGGGCTTGATCGCCATCCGCTTGTTGCTTGGCGTGCCCGGGGTTCCTAATAAACCGCGCTCGTACAAAACGCGTAACATAATGGTGCTAGAAATAAAGTCCTGCGCACCTTCGCAAACGGTCTTCTTCAGTTTTGTTATATCACCGGCGCTCAGCTTTTCCTGCAGGCCCACGACAATCCGGGTCTTGGGAAGGATACTGGGCGCTTTCTTACTGCGCATCAGGAAATTATATCCGGGATGCAGGAGGGATGCGAAATCATACGGCAGCGCATCGAAAACACCGGCTTCGTTTTTATACAGTTCCGGTTTGCGAGCTGCATTGATAAGACAATCTTTTGCTTACTTCTTGTTAAAAGCAGAATAAAGTGAGTGCACCTTCGTCGATATTCTCCCAGTTGATGACGACATAGTCATCCCGGTCGTGACGATCGATTTCCCGTGGGAAACCCATGGCCAGGAGCAGCAGCTCCTGGATGCGGCCGGTTTTGCCGGTGGCGACGCAGTCCGTCGTCAGGTAGACCTTGTGGACCGGGTTTGCCGCCGGGTCGAACTGTGCCGCGCAGCGGTCGTCGTGGGCGAAACGGATGAGCGGTTTCCGCGGGATGCCGCGACGGTGGGCGTCCTCCACCGGGACGAACTGCAGGCAGCCGGTCTGCTGGCTGACCGAGTCCACTGCCGCGGTTATGGTCTCCACCGAAGCATCTGCTAACGGTCAGCTCATTAGGAAAAGCGTATAATATTTTGGCTCTCGCGCATTCCAAAACTGTTTAATTTCATTTTACAGCCCAACGAAATGTACACATCGGCATAAAAAAGCGTTTGTGCTCGTAGCATCCGTGCGATTTGACGAAAAGACAGCATATTGTTATAATAAGGCAAAGCCCAATCAAAGCGAAATTCAGAATTTGTCTGTTTTGAAAATAAATTTTTTTTATTGATCTGTATGTTTAAATTTTTGAAATGACCGCAACAATCCTTCGCTTTATCGTTTTCTCGGTTTTACATAATTCTTTCTGAGAAATTGACTGATGTTCGTTCAGCATTAACCGCGGAGCTAATTAAACGCTTCTGAAGTGGGACGTACCGTCAATTTCTGGATCGATGACGTAGGGAATGTACACCGTCTCCTCCTTTTTGTAATAATGTGGTGCGGCGGTTTGCAGCGGACACGGCGGATGCGCGGCGGGATCGCATCCCAGGATGTCGTCCTGGAAAGCGTCCTGACCGGTGCAGACATGGAAAACAATGCACAGCAGACAGGAACAGATGGATAATCTTAGCATTACGACTACAGTCTGCTGGGTGTTGATTAATAGCGAAGCACCGGCTGTACGGCTAGCAAGTTTAAACGCTGCAACAGTGCAAGCATGCAAGTTGCCTGCTCAGCTGGTATTTCCTAAGCACCTAACTAGCTCCAGGCGCCGCGCCACCGGTTTGGCTTGAACAGGCGATACAGTTTGTTGGCCCAGGAGACATTAGCAGCTTCTACGCGGTAATAAACTTTAAATAATCGGCTGTAAACTTTACGAGCCTGCTCAATGACGATGGATTCAAAAACCACGTGGAGAACATGAACAATATATGTTTTCTCGGGGTTGGCTTGTGAAATGCTTCCCGAAGGATCATCCGGGTTTTGCCTGTATCTGTATTAGTCTTGTTTTTCGTTTTTTTCAAGTGATAGGTTGATAAAAGCTTAGGAAGGTCTCCTACAAAGTTACCGACAGAAATTCATAAAATGCCGGGTTGCAAAACAATTCTTAAGGGAAGTGATCCGGTACATGGTATTGATGGTATCATATTAGTGTACATGCACAAAACCTTTCACTTTCGCATTCTCCCAAACGCTTGTGCATTGTGTAAGGACATTCTGTAGCTAACCATTGTAAATGATTTGTATACAATGGCTACGTGCAAATCGTTGGTGTGTGCAGCCGTTGGGTAGGCATGGAGAGTTTGGTGTAAGAAAGCTTCAGAAAGTTTAAACGCATTCAGGTGTACCGATTTTCTTTAAATTTTGCAAGCAAACTCGCGTATATTGGTGCATATCGAGATCGTTCTTGCGCACACATGGTACATATTTATAAATTACATCGAGTTCGTTAACACGTATATTTCATGAAGAATTTCAAAATTGTTGAAATTCATTTTTACATTAGTCGGAAAAAAACAGTGCAGCTGTTTTTCGGTGTAGAAACGACCTTTCACTGTATGCGCACAGTGTATTTACATGTATAGACATGAAGAATTCGAGCAAGATCGGCACGGAATGGGACTTTTGATACGCCAGTCTCGGAGAAGCGTCTACGCTGTACAGAGAAATGACAACGGAAACAACATCTCCTCGAAATAATCGCTTTTATTTCAATGAAATAAATGCTAATCAGCATCAAAACAAATCTCTAAAGGTGAGAAAAAGGGCATGAAACCAAGGAAAGCTAGGAAACGATGTTAACGGTTCCGATGCTGGCACCCGAATGGCAAACACGATCAGTCGTGTTTGAAAAGCTGGCAGATGGTAAGCCGAGCCAATGATGGTGAGGCGTCCGTGCCAATATCCTGTGCACTATGCACAACACTCTGACATGCCACGGGACGGGATGCCGAGGCCCCTTGAGGCTCAAAAACAGGAATGAGAAAAGTGAGAATATGCATGTTAAATGCAACATAGTGAGCAATTCTTATTAAAAAAAATGTGCCAATTATTCCATCACAGGTTAGTGAGAACACACGCTGCAAAATGCGGCGAAAAATTGATCAAACGAGTTTTTAAACTCGTAACAAAAAATCCGGTAATTATTCCGGTAAAATCCCATTCCAGTTAAATCCAATCCTGCATCAATCCCTGTTATGTTGCAGGTTTTCCAATCCATTCCGGAGTTTTCCTCCAATCATACGCATTGTTGCGTCGATCCACGACATTTATGCAGTTTTGTGCATCTTCGGCAATTTTATTCATCTGTTATGCAATTAATGCACTACGGCAATTCGTTAACCAAGTATTGTGCACAGATTTGTGCGTCTACGGCTTTTCAATTTTTTTGTTTAGAATTGATTGAGAATTTTTGATGCACTCGTTGGGCTTATACGGCGATTTAAATTCCGGTATACACACAGTGTACTACGGCGATTTAATTTTTTAGCATTTAATGCTTTTACGGCGATCAAATCACGGTATACACACAGTGTACTACGGCGATTTAAATTTTTTTTTTTTTTAACATTTAATGCTTTTACGGCATTTCCATCTGCGGTTCGGCATTTAGTACGTTAAGAGCGTTGCTCAATACGGCAGACGTAGTCTTAATGTCGGCACTATCATCCAACATATCCGCTCCTCCATTTCCTCCTGGATAATACAACGGGTCGGTATCGTTATCCGGGATGTGTACCGCGAAAATCAAGTGGTCCACATCGGTGAAGGTCGAATCCTGGCCCATTGCTTCCAGTTCGTACTGCCTGTCCCGCAGGGCTTGGCGGGATGGATAGAGAAAATTATTCTCTATAGACGGCTTCTCATCCGTCTCCATTACTGCTTCTTCCAGCAGTTTCTGCGCGCTTCCTGAAATCGTCAGTGATTCCACCGACGCCACGACATCCGTTCGCGGAATTTCGCTAGGTGGCGCAGTGATCACTGCAGATTCGGTATTCACAGTCGGCGGTACGGTTGCAGTGTTATCTGCAATTACTGGTGCAGCATTAGCTGTCTCCGGCGTTTCGTCAGTTTCTTCAGTGTCCATTGACACTACGGTTTTCTTCGGTTCAGGTTGGACTGTCTTGCTGGTCGTTGGAGTGTCGGGAGAATTTGGGGCGACTTTGCGCTTCCCCTGACTTTGACGGTTAGCAAATCGCTTAATGAGATCATAGATCCCGTCATAGTATCCATTATGGATTGATTCGGTCTTCAGTCCGTCGACTTGCATCACACCCAGAATGTCATTTAAGACTTTCGCTTGTTGTTCCTCATTTAGAGGCTCGCCCAAGCGATTAACGTAGCTTTTTAATCGACGATTCTGTTCCTCCTGCCGGTATGTCCGGGCCCAGTGGTGAGCGTGGCAATTGCCCATTAGCGCGGAGAGGATGACCAGAATATACTTCTTAAGTCCCCATCCGATATTAATCGTATCCCATGTAATTTTCATGGGGGCAACTTTTCGCTGTATTGCACACGCGGCACGGCAGAAAAACCAGAACTTTGCTGGATCCGTGTCCGGTAGGATGAACTGCAGGAGAAATTCCTCCGGTTGTTCGGTGTATAAGATTTTAAACTGGGAAATTAATTCCCAATCTACTACGGTAATTTCGGTAAGTTTCTCCTTCAGCTGGGAAATATCCAGCGCGCTACGCAGTCCATGACGGCGTGGCGTTTCGTATCGCCTAATCTCCATCTGACGGAACAGATCAATTTTATACATATTGATCGAGTTCTTAATACGGAGATCATATCCGATAGTATGGAGTAAATCCAAAGTGTCAATAATGGCTTTGCCAATTTCGGCTCTTTGGTCAGTATTAACTGTGCCAATTACTGACACAACACGATCCACATATAACTCCAAATCACGACGAATAACGTCGATATCGCGGCGGATGTATTGTGGATGTGTTTGCCTTTCAGGCATCACCGACACAGATGCATCCGGTTTATACGGTGTTGATTTATCGCGCGTTGCGCGGATGTTCCAATTTGCTGCTTTTCTCTGAAATTTAGCAGCCACATTCAGTCTACCCGGCATTATGTCGCCTTCCACAAACGAATTATCTGGGGTTTTTCCCACGTTCGGTAAGTTGTAAGTAATTTTATGCCGAGTTTTACCACTAGCATTGCTAGTGTTGCTAGAATGACTAGCACCTGAATTTGGCTCAGAGTCAACAACTGATTCACTTACAGGCGCAGGCTGCACTCGCAGCAATTGTAAAGGCGGTTGTTGATTCACTGACGGCTTCCTGGTCAGCGGCGGAAGATTCGCTAACAGCGGATTAGTTTGCCGCTGTGGTGATTCTTTCGGTGCTGTTCCGGCTGGCCATGGACACGGAGTTATCATCCGCGTCTCCGGGTCGTACTGGTAACTTCCACTGGGGAGGCTCTGCTGAAGATGAGCAATATGCTCTGGTGGCAAAGCGCCCGACGGTACTTGCAGTGCCATATTCGAATAACGAATAGGCGCTTGCATTTGCTGCATTTGCGGCTGATATCCTGTCGTTGGCAGACTTTGCTGCTGATATGGATGTGGCTGAAACATAACTGGCGGTTGCCACTGTCCTTGCTGTGGCTGATACGGCATTTGTTGTCCGCTGGCGCTCGCCGAGCAACTCTGATTCGGTGGCGCAGTGACGCGCTTCATCAAATCCACTGTGCATCGCCCGAAATTTTCAGGATGGATTGCATAAGACCATTCGTCAGCACCATCGCTGATAAACTGAACGGCACTGTCGAAAACGCCACGATAATAATACGGCGTGGCACAGACTATCGTCCAATATTCCGGTAGCGTGATTGTACGGTAGGCATCCAAGCTGCGTAGCAGCACTTCGTCGTAAAGACGAGATACGGTGATCTGTGGGTTTTCCGATCGGAAATTCGGTCCGAGTGTGCATTCCACACACTTCCGATTGTTAGTATTATGTTGGCAGCGTCTGCAAGAGCGCATTGGCCCGTATGCATACGGTAATTCCTCCATTTTATCTGCAAATAATTTAAATTAATTAAATTATGCAGTATTTACGGCGTTTTGATGCTACGGCGTAATATACGCATCTAACCACCTCGGAGATACTGTAAAATTAAATTAATTATCTCCCTCACTAACGTGGTCTAACACCACGGATAAAACCATCCCGCGGTGCGGGTCATTCAATCCGATAATTCTCGGATCAGTGATTAAGCGACTTATCGCCAAGGTTACGGCATCGTCTACTTGTTCAGCTATTGCTGGACATACAGTCCTGATATACTGTATGATTTCGTCGGGTGACGATCCCGAGGGATCGCCAATTTCCACGATTGTTTTTACAACAATTTCATCCCACTCGGGAACCTTATCGAACTGCACTCTTTGCAGGAAAGATAATCCCTTACGACCGAAATAATAGGACGGCGAAGTTTCGCCATTATAACGGCGGGTTATTTGCGCATCTTCGTACATTGTACGAATCATAGTCTGTACGGCGTATGGTTGGTAAGTGCCAAAGTGCTCACTTATACGCTGCACTGTGGGATTTTCCCCTCTCTGTTCAATCTTATATATGGCGATTGCCAAATCGTTACGCGATGGCTGTGCTAATAAGGTTTTCTGTTCGTCCACTGCTATGAGCCTTCGCCCGAATGGAACGCGCTTCGCGGGTGAATACGGTACTTCTTCTATGTGTTGGCCGGTTAACTCGGCGATCCGTTTACGATTAGTTTCTACTAAGGCATATCGCCCACTATTCCCGGCCAAGGCCGCATCTACGATTATTCCCGTGGCGATTGCCTCATTGACTGCGGTAGTGACATCCGAGTAGCGCTGCTCAGGATTGACTGAGTCTA